ACAGGCATAATGTTGTGATGCTTATTTCTTTGGTGCAGATAAAATATGTCTTTATAATATTATTTGCAAAGTGCTGTAAACACTGTTGGGATCAGACATGAATTTTTAACATTTTTTTTTTTTTGTAGACATATTAGGCTTATTTTTAGAAACTAAAACTAAGTGTACACATGTAAAAAGGTTTCTGTTTTTTTTTTTGTTTTTTTTTACTCTTTTAGATTAAACGTTTCACATATTTTCAACATCCAAGTTTTACAACATTTTTTAAAATGTTCCTCCCTCTGCAAAAAACACAACAAAGCAATGTGCTATATTATACTTGTCAATCGTTGTCAATGTAAATTTGAGAGAGGTGAAAACAGACAAGATGGCATCAAGGTGTCAAGTACTCATTCATGCACATAACCTGAACATGTATAGTAATAAAGCATGTGCATGATATCACCACTTTTAGTCACTGTGCACAGCCAATTAGGATAATTCAGTCACATGACTTAATATAATATAATATAACGGTTAAATACTATAAAAAGCACAACTGTAAAACCTGTTATTTAATTTAATTTCCTTCACTATATCTGTAGCACTTACTGTTTTTGTTATAATTCATGTGACAATAGGCTTCTAATAAAATACACTATAAATCTAATTTTACTACTTTAATGCTATACTATTATTATTATTATTATTATTCTTTTTTTTTTTTTTATTTTTTTTATTTTAGCTACATAACAGTGCAAACTATATGAAAAATGACTATGAAAGACATAAATAAAAGCTTTTTTTTCATTTTCTTATTTTTTGGTTTGTATATTTTTAACCACTTATATACACAAGAGTCGTTTATAATATTTTTAAATAAATATTATTTATATTACTGATATTGTCTGGTTTGGTGTTGTAAATTACAGTACAAAAACCTGGTTACAAGCTGCCGGTCCGTTTTCTGTTACTTTACAGACTTGGTTCTTTATTTATTATATATAATGTGTAAAACCAATTTTCTAAAATGTCAATAAAAGTCATCCTGTCAAAAATGTAGTGTTGAATTTTCAACATGAAAAGTGGACAGAGGAAAAAAACTCCTATAAAGCAAGTAACAACCATAAATAAATAGAAAACCCCTATGAACACCTGTTAATTAACACATTTTTTATCTTTTATTATTATTATTTTTTTTTTGCAGTGTATTACTTAATTTAAAACTTACCTGCAAATGGTCATTGATGTTTACTGTTGTGGATAACACTGAACTTATTATATTCATTCATTCATTTTATTTTGGCTTAGTCCCTTTATTAATCTGGTGTCGCCTCAGTAAAATGAACCACCAGCATATGTTTTTTAGGCAGCGGATGCCCTTCCAGCCGCAACCCATCACTGGGAAACACACACACTCCCATTCACACACATACACCACAAACAAGTTCATTTACCCAATTCACCTATTGCGCATGACTTTGGACTCTGGGGGAAACCAGAGCACCCTGAGGAAACCCACAACGTAAGAACTTGCAAACTCCACACACAAATGCCAACTGACCCAGCCTGGGCTCGAACTAGCGACTTTCTTGCTGTGAGGCGATTGTGTTACCCACTGCACTACTTTAATTATTATTAATATATTAAAAACCTAACATAAACTTAACTAAACTTAAAATTTTAAGGCAACCAGCTTAGGGCATTTTTGAGTTTACATTTTTGATTAAAGTTGAGTCAACTCATGAAAGCTCTGTAGCTAGTTGCCTTACAATTTTGAGTTGAGTCAACTTTGTTTTATTATTATTTTTTTTAAAGCAGTGTACTACTACTACTACAACTACTACTACTACTACTACTACTAAAACTAATACTACTACTACTATTATTATTATTATTATTATTATTATTATTATTATTATTATTATTATTATTACTCCCAAAAGTAAAGCTTTTTGTGCTGAAATTGGACCTTCTCATCTTTACCTGTTTTTGGTGCATGTCATGTCATGTGATGTTGCCTAACAGTGACTGAACAGAAAATGTCTGTGCTGGATGAAACTACAGGTGTGACATGTACATGTGCATCAGCAGACTAGGGTGTGATTCTCTCTGCTGTATATTATGCCTTCTGGGTTTCTTCCTGCTTGCGCATCTCAGAAATCTTCACCTTGGCTGTTACACAACTGCAAATATTAAGTCTTTGCAAAGCATTTATTGTTAACCCTCTGATGACTGGATTATACAATCACAGAAAAAAAAAAAGAATTTATATGTTTGTTATGTATAATCAGTTTATGTCAAAACCCAATATAGTATTTTGATAAGTAATAAGTTATGTCAGACATTTTGGATTGAAATACAGTACAAGCTACTTTATTATTAAATAATAGTATAATAATATAAAAGTGGTTCAAAGACATTTTGTTGTCTGCATCAAATTAAATGTACAATGTGATTTTAAGTATAAAAGGCATATTCAATGCAAATAGTGTAACACATAATATTTGTGAAAACCAAATGTCAATAATATAATTATTATGTAAAAACGAAACAGTGTTCTGATACCTGAGATATATATAAAAAAAAGATAAGTGATTATACAAAAAAGTTTGAAATGATTTCCAATTTACTGGTGTTTTAAATGACAATACTAAAGTATAAAAATATTAAATTACAATTCATTATTATTTTAGAGCTGCAGATGTGATCTTTAAGTCAGAGCAATTTAATATGTCATCAAAATGATTCTTGTTCTACAAATGACTTACAGTATGTGAATAACATGAATTTCTTGACATATTAGATAAGATTCTAAAGACAGATAAACTACAAACCCCCCTTATCATCAATCACATTTTTTCCAAAGAAATGTCAACAATGTGAAGATATTTTCTCATTGCTAATACTTATAATATACCTCAACCTATTGTATCATTGGTTTTAGAGCAGTTTTATTTTTATTTTTTAGGCTACAAATGTATGATCATTCAATGTGAGAAATGATTGTCTGGTGTTCTAGCGAGTTGTTTGTAAGACATTTGACAGCAAACAGAATATTGTACATACCATAGCATAAACACTGTACATACTGCACATATTTGAGGTAAACATGAGTGAGAGGGTAATCGTTCACACTTGGGGCTTTTTATCCGTGACACTGCATCATAGCCATGATTTAATCAAACTTAATTCAACAGGGAAATTTAAAAAATAATTAAGCAAAACCTTTAGGAAAATTTAATAGAACTATTTCTTAAAGTGAAATTTATTTTGAGCTTCAAGCAATAAAGAGAAACATAAAAACAGTAATCTAAGCAAGATATCAAATATGTTTATCTAGTGTTAATTATGCAGTAGACTTTTAAAAATGAATGATATACTGTAAGTGAAATTAATAATATATAATCTAAATACTGTATGTGGCTTGTTTGTGTTTACCAATGGTGTCAAATCATTGAAATGTTTTCCTTTTATTTTATTTTTATTTAGTTGTTTTTTATTATTAGTATTTACTTATTCATGGGTATGTATGTATGTATGTATGTATGTATGTATGTATGTATGTATGTATGTATGTATGTATGTATGTATGTATGTATGTATGTACACTCATCGGCAACTTTATTCGGTACACCTGTCCAACTGCTCGTCAACGCATATTTATAATCAGCCGATCACATGGCAGCAACTCAATGCTTTCAGGCATGTAGACATGGTCAAGACAGTCTGCTGCAGTTTAAACAGAGAATCAGAATGGGGAAAAAAGGATTTAAGTGACTTTGAACGTGGCACGTTTGGTGGGGGTGGTTTCAATATTTTAGAAACTGCTGATCTACTGGTATTTTCACACACAACCATCACAAAGGTTTACAGAAAATGAGAAAATTACTGAAAAAGAAAAAATATCGAGTAAGCGGCAGTTATGTGTGCACAACTGCCTTGTTGATGTCAGGGGAGAATGGCCAGGCTGGTTTGACTTAAAAGAACGGCAACAGTAACTCAAGTAATCATTCGTTACAACCGAGGTATGCAGATGAGCATTTCTAAACGCACAACATGTCGAACCTTGAAGCAGATGGGCTACAGCAGCAGAAGGTCACACTGAGTGCTTGGATTATTTCTTGGTTGTTCTGGGCCCATTAGTACCAATTAAGCATCATGTCTATGCCACAGCCTACCTGAGAATTGTTGCTGACTATGTCTATTCCTTTATAACCACAGTTTACCCGTCTTCTGATGGCTACTTCCAGCAGGATAACGCACCATGCCATACTGTAAAGCACCAATCATCTCAGACTGGTTTTTTGGACATGACAATGAGTTTACTGTACTCAAATGGCCTCCACAGTCACCAGATCTCAATTCAATAGAGCACCTTTGGTGTGAGATGCAATGGGAGATTAACACCATGGATGTGCTGCTGACAAATCTACAGCAGCAACTATGCTATCAAGTCAAAATGGATAAAAATATCTGAGTAATTTTCCTATACCTTGTTGAATCAATGCCACGAAGGATTAAGGCAGTTCTGAAGGAAAAATGAGGTCTAACCCAGTACTAGTGAGGTGTACCTAATAAAGTGGCCGGTGAGTGTATGTATGCGTTTACTGTAACAAAAAATGACGATGAATAGATGAAATGTGTGTTTTTTTTTTTTTTATACACAAGCTGTGCATGCACTGGAATAATAGCTGTAAATTGTGAAATAACTATCCAAGGCACTTTCAAGGCCATTTAAACACTTATTTAAATTCTTACATAAAAAGTCTAAATGGAATGTAAAAACCTTTCTTTAATAACAACTCGCCTCATTGCATAATTATCACAGAAGAAGGCAGACTCTTCATTACTTTCTTTTCTGAGCACTGAATAAATATGTTGTCAGACGTATGTCATCCTATGTCTTGGTAATGGGAGTGGCCATTTGATGACATCATGACACACCTCCAGACCTCACTATAAAAAAAACTTTATGACAAAAGGGGAGTCACATGTTACTATTGAAAGCAACAGACTAAATTAACAAGAAAGGCATTTGACTGTCATTTCCACAACATCTGTTCGGGAGAATCTGCAAGATCAAAAATGGTCAAAAACACCAATATTCGAATCAGTCTCCCTGCGGTTTGCTTTGTCTGGCAGATTGCTATGATCATCCTGTTTGGTGTGTTCATCCGTTATGATGAGGAGTCTGACAGCCATTGGATCGAAACACGGAAAAAGAACAATATTTCCACTGATTTAGAGAATGACTTTTACTATAGATATCCAAGTAAGTAACACATCGATATGATTTGATGCAATATGATGTCTTCTTGTATCTAACATTTTTATTATCAAACACTGACATTCTGTATATTTTTGTTGTTTTTCTTACTGTATCTCAGGTTTTCAGGATGTGCATGTGATGATCTTTGTTGGTTTTGGATTCCTCATGACCTTTCTGAAGCGTTACAGTTTTGGTAGTGTTGGATTTAATTTTCTCATCGCAGCCTTTGGCATTCAATGGGCTCTGCTGATGCAAGGCTGGTTTCATTCCTTTGACAAAGAGGACTTGAAGATAAAAATCGGCGTTGAGAAGTAATTAATCTTTTATTAACACAATAAGATATGTTAACTTCATATGTTTATATTATGTTCAGGCACTGACTTGTTTTTGCAGGATAAAGGATATTACATGTGTTTCCATTTCTGAAGCCTTGCTTATATAGTCTGTTTATATTGCTGGGTTAACTGATTATGTGTAATCTGGATTATGTACTGTAATCAGATTTAAAAAATGCATTACTTCTAATAAGATTGTTTTCCATTTGAAGTGTTTATAACCATACAACAGTTACTTTTTTATAGATTACATGATTACAAATTGATTAAGCAATGGCAATGCATTTATTTATAACTTAATGATTCATTTTTTACAAATTACATTTTTTTATGTGTGTTTGTTTTGGAATGGCCATGAAAATGACATGTTAATTAATTTGCAATCCAAATGACAGATTTAATTTTAAAAAGGCACGTTAAGTCAAAAGTAATCTAGAAGTAATATAAATGTCAAACCCCATTACTTAAAATAAGTAATCTAAGACTTCAATTTACAGACTACAATTTGTAATCAGTTCACCCAGTACTGAGCATATTCATCTTGTATCTATTTCTAAAATACAGATGTATTATCCATAATTTGATTCTCCCTAATACTGAAATTTAAATAAAGATAACATTTTTATATTCTCTTCAATTTTCGCAATATAGAAGGATAGTCTACTGTAAATGTTAAGTTGATTAACTTGTGATCCCATATTTGTGGATTTGGGAACAAATTGAAACAGAAAATTACAAAACATAAGCAAGCCATGGTATGTTAAAGGCAATTTAATCAATCTGGATGCAGCCTTGATGATGCAAACTGAGATTGCATCTTTCAGCAATGCAATGTCAGATGCAATGCACTCAATGGTGCCAGTGACTTCATTTTGAGTGGTAGAGGTTAGAGGATGCAGCTTGCATCTGCACCAGGTCTGCATTACGCACCAGTACGTATGGCTGCATTTAGTTTTTAAAATGAACGCTTGGGAGTGGTATGTCGTTGTTTCTTTTTGCGCTTACCAGCTGACCAATTACCTCCATATGGACGGCTTTTCCACTGTTATCCAGTTAGCTCATCTTGTACATCGATGGACTTGAAAGGTGTACATCGATGGACTTGAGTCAGTGTTTTTTAAAAATACTTTTAGTTGGGTTTAGGCAAGAAGGAGGGTGGGTCAGTTGATCAGTCAGTCAGTCAGTCAGACAAACAGTCAGTCGACAGTGGCCTCTGGTAGATTTATGTGGGAACAGCAGGCGTGAATGGCACTCGTGAGAGAAATCAGAGATCTCAAAAAGCAAGAGGGGTCTGGCTGCAGACCTGGTGCAGTGCAATCTTGGCTGCATCCAATACTTTTTTATGGGCTCACCTAACCCCACCCCTAACCCTACACGTCACAGTGACGTCACTAGCTCCATTTGAGTGCATTGGCTCGGACATTGCATCACTGAGTTATGCAATCTTAGCTTGCATCATAAAGGCTGCATCCAGATACTATTGCAAAAAGCGCACACAGTAGACTCTGGTTCATACGTGAAATTAAAAAATGCACAAAAACGTAGATCCTGGGATGGATTTGGCCTCTCCAGAAATGTATATATGGGTAAGTTTTCAGAATGAGCCTGGGTTGCCTAAAAGAGTAATCTAGACTATGTGCCTGACTACAGTTGTCATCATGAAATTTGTAGTTAGTTACAAGCTACAATTTGTAAGTCTACCTTGAGCATATTCATCCTTCTTCTGTAACTAAAGAACTAAATTGTCATTTTCTGTCCGTCAGCCTCATCAACGCAGATTTCTGTGTGGCTGGTTGTCTCATTGCATATGGTGCTTGTCTTGGAAAAGTCAGTCCTGTACAACTGATGGTTCTTACTCTGTTTGGAGTCACTCTGTATGCAGTTGAAGAGTACATCATTCTCTATGTCCTTCATGTAAGATTGAATCCACCCATTTTTCTCACTCAAAGAATAACTTTTAAAGCTGAAATGGTGCATTTTGAATGCTTTCAGGTGAGAGATGCTGGTGGTTCTATGGTCATCCACACCTTTGGTGCATATTACGGTTTAACCATATCTTGGGTCTTGTATCGACCATTTCTGTCTCAAAGCAACCATTTACAACGATCTGTATACCACTCTGATGTATTTGCAATGATTGGTGAGTATTGAAAAAGTGTCCTTTTCTGCTATTGCACCAATAAAGCAGAGTATAATGAAGCTGAAAGCCTCACCTAGCTAAATGGCTTAACAATGTGTGTGAAAAAATAATGTATGTTGTTATTAAATATAACGGCCATTTTCAATGTTTGAAATACATGTTTTTTTCAAAACAAGCACTTGTGAAAATGGTGCAATACAGTGGTCCCTTGTTAATCGAGGGACTTACATTCTAAAATTATTTTAAAATTATTGTAGTTGTTTTAAGGCTGTAAATCCCCTCATTACACTATTTTCTCACATAGGCAATACCATTTTCACACATTTCTCTCGTTTAAACGCATAACTTCTACCTTCTTTTACCATGTCCAGAAGTACAACTTTTTGTGTGTTGGTTTGCATCATCTTTTGCCTTTTGGGTGCTACCGCAGTTGCCTTTGAAACAGAATGTTTTGTCAACATTATGGGGTATGTTGGGGAGAAAAATTGCAATCATACAGTCATACTGCTAGCCATCAAAGATTTATGTCAATTTGGTAAACTGAACACATTCTGGACTGTACAGGAGACATGGCACAGAGGGGATTGATGGACAATTGTCCACAGCTAATCAGGATGCAGAACACAATGTGCAAATCAGGACGCCGAACAATGCGCTGTTGAAAAAAGCATGTCAAATTGCACTAAATAATCTATGAAACTGCGAGACTGCGAAAAGTTAACTTTTATTTATTTATTTATTTATTTATTTGTTTGTTTGTTTGTTTGTTTATCTATTTATCTATTTATTTATTTATTTTCCATTTCAATGCTTCTCATTTACTGTATTTTAATAAATACATCAACATATATGTAAAACAATTTTTGCAATTAAGGTATTTTGTATTCCCCCCTCTCCCAATCACAATGAATCTTCGCTGGTCTAAACAAGCCTCCATCCATCAATCAATCAATCAATCAACTAGTTAGTTATTTGGTCAGTCAGTTAGTCAAGTAGTTAGTTTCTTTATTTGATAAATAATTTATGTTTGTTTGTTTGTTTGTTCATTCGTCCGTTTGTTTGTCCGTCCATACATCCATCTATCTATCCATTCATCTATCTATCCATCAGTCCATCCATCCATCCATCAATCCATCCATTCATCCATTCATCCATTCATCCATCCAACCATACCACCCACCCACTCACCCACCCATCCATCCAAAACATCCATCCAGAAAATCTTCCACTTCAGTTGAAATTGTGTTTCAAAGAGAGGGGTTAAAAACATGATAGAAAATAGCCTATCCATTCAACAATTTAAATATTTATTACATTTTTTATTTTCATTAAAAAAAATGTAAAATAATACAATAATACTCTTTTTTTTTTTTTTAATATAAGTTGATGGCCCCTTTAAAACACCAGTTTAGGTGTTCTAAATGTATTGTTAAGCAGCTTCTCTGTGCATATTGGTTTTAGGTAAAAGAGTTACAACAAATGGCTTGCTCAATAGCATCCTTTATCTTTACAGGCACTCTGTTTCTTTGGATGTTCTGGCCAAGTTTTAATTCAGCAATTGCGGATCATGGAGATGGCCAGCATCGAGCTGCTATAAACACTTACCTATCCCTGGCCGCATCGGTTCTCACTACCTTTGCCCTTTCCAGTCTCTCAAAGAAATATGGAAAACTCGACATGGTGACTAAGCCTCTGCTTACTGTCTGTGAGGTCTGAGTTAATCTTTTTTTGTGCTTAAAAATAACCTTTTCTTGCCATTGTTCAGGTACATATTCAGAATGCTACCTTGGCTGGTGGTGTAGCGATGGGAACGGCTTCAGAGTTCATGATTACACCTTACGGCTCTCTGATAGTGGGATTCTGTTCGGGTATTGTCTCCACCCTTGGATATGTCTTTCTGACTGTGAGTTTGCTATGTTTTATAGTGCTTAAAATACTCATATATTATACTGAAGTCAAATTATTTTATACTGTTTTTCCTGTATGTTGTACATATGAAGAGTTCAGATGCAAAAACTTTTAAATGCCATCTGAAATTTGACTCTAAAATGAGCATTTTTATATGTAGATTCAGTAATATCACATTTATGGGAAAATAAAATAAATAAGTCCTTTTCCTGGTCTTTTAAGTAAAATAACTTTACATAAACAAAGGAGGCTGATAAATGTGGACCTGGTGGAAATTTGAGATGGCACTTAAAGGTTTTTGCATCGGAATTCTTCATATATACTGTATGTTGTTACCTTACTTAATTTTGTTTCTGTGTACTGTCTAATACACATATTTTAGATCTACAACATGTTTGAATTCTTTATTGAAAACCGTATGTTTTCATCCAAAGTTGGAAATTTAATTTGTGTGCAAATTTGGCATACTGTACTTGTAAATAAAAAAATAAAAAAAAACTTTTCTACTGGTAACATATGCATGAGTTTATTCATCACACTTTATGAAAATATATTAATACTGGACAAGTAATAATCACCTGCATGCTCCCTCCTAAAAACCTCAAAACATGTAATACAAAAAACAACTAGAAACATACATAATCTTATTTCCAATATATATTTTTTTCTATATTAGCCTTTAATGGAAAAAACCTTGAAGATACAAGATACCTGTGGTGTACATAACCTTCATGCAATGCCTGGAGTTATTGGTGGAATTGTTGGAGCTGTTACTGCAGCTTGTGCCAGTGAATCTGTTTATGGACATGAAGGGTAAGTTTGTGTCAATGAAACATATAGTTTACAAGTGTATTGTATCTATATGTATTCACCAGCTTCAAATGTTATCACTCAATTGATTGGGCGTTATCAGTGGTTATCACTTGATAGATATGGAACAATAGGGGCCTTCTGCACCTACAGGTGGGCTCAGAAGGCCGTTATCATCCATCCACATGGTAATCAGCTATATTAATAAGAGAAGACTCCAGATCCAGATCTGTTTTTTACATTACTGTGACAGTTAGGTTTAGGGTTAGGGTAGGGGTATCGGGTAATTAATATAAGTAATGGGAAAATCAATAAATAATATAAAAAATTGTCATGGTTAATCAGCTATATTGATAGAGAAGACTCCAGATCCAGATCTGCTTTTACATAACTGTGGTGGTTGGGTTTAGGGTTGGGGTAGAGGTAGACGTTAATAAAATACAATTAATGGGAAATTAAATAAAAAATAAAATTACTTATTAATAATAAACAATTTTTGATAACTTTCGTCCGTTGCCGTATGTGGTCTTTAGATTACCCATGTAGATGGATGGATGATATTAGTCTTCTGAGCCTACCAGTTGGCAAAGAAGGCCCCTACTGGTAACCACTGATAACGCCCATTCAACCCAGTGATAACATTTAAATTGTCTTTTGTAAAACATATATAATGATTAATAATGATCTACTATCTGCATCAAATTTCATATTATTCAAATTATTTAATATTATTAGCTTTTTACAATTTAGTGTTTATATTTTATTTTTAAATTGTATATAACAATCACCATTTGTGATGTTGCAAGAATAAAAAAGATAAATACTCTTTTTTTTTTTAGACTGATTAACATGTTCGGATTTGAGGGTAAAGTGAACAGAACAGCCAGCGTTCAGGGAGGATACCAGGCGGCAGGTATCTTTGTAGCAATAGCATTCGGCCTTGTGGGAGGAGCTTTGGTTGGTGAGTGCAAATAAAGTAAAACTGGCGAACTTTAAGTGTTTTTTATCTCTATATTACTTACTACATTAATATTACTTTCTATACTCTATATTACTTTGAATTTGAGTTTGCATCTTATATGTGTTCAATTTTCCAGGTGGCATACTAAAGCTGCCAATCTGGGGAGACCCAACAGACAGCAACTGCTTTGATGATGATATTTACTGGGAGGTAAGAAATGTGTTTTTAAATGATCTATTGAGTTTAACTGAAAGATGATTCATTTGAGGACTCTTCTGTAAGCTCCATGTTGATTTAAAAATAAGGAGGCTAATTGAATTTGTGGTGTTTGTTCTTAGGTTCCAGAGGAAGAGGATGAAAATATTCCTGCTTTTGGACATCAAAACATGCATCATGTAGAAAGGACGCCAGATGCGTGAGTCAAATTTCAACTCACGTTATCCTTTCATGAACATTGCATTTGGTTTAAAACCTTCTGTGTTTTTTTTTTTTTTTTTTTGTGTTTTATTCTTTTTTACATTATATTCAGGGTGACAAAACACAAGTAACTAACTACCTTTAGCATTACAGTAAAGTTATATATATGAATGGATGGATAGATTGATGGATGGATGGATGGATGGATGGATGGATGGATGGATGGATGGATGGATGGATGGATGGATGGATGGATGAATGGATGAACAGACAGATAGATGGATAGACAGACAGACAGACAGATGTTAGATAGATAGATAGATAGATAGATAGATAGATAGATAGATAGATAGATAGATAGATAGATAGATAGATAGATAGATAGATAGATAGATAGATAGATAGATAGATAGATAGATAGATAGATAGATAGATAGATAGATAGATATTATTTATTTTTTTAATGGCTCACCATTTTGCAAAGACAATGAAACTAGAAAGATAGGCTACTAATTAAATAAGGTTTATCAGGTAATTAAGGATATTACCATCCACTGCCAGATTTAAACTAAAAACTAAGAGTATCTTTCATCAGTGTTCTTTCATCAGTGTTCCTTTATATCATTGCTTACATAATGTTTTTATACTGTGCTTCAGAATATATTCAGCTCTTTTACTCCTGTTGTGAAAACTTCAAATAAGATTGAGCAATCACTTTTAACGATAGAAAATTGTGCAACTGTACATAGTCTTGTATTGTACTGTATTCTTATGGTTACTTAAGAACTAATATTATAGGAATAATTTTAACTAATATTATCTGCATTGACCTAGACTTAGCTAAATAATAAGAGTTTAGTAAATGGCAATGACATACCATGAGCTTTAAACACCATTGTTTTCTTGTTCTCAAGTAAATTAAATGAGTGTAAAATTTGGGTGAAAAATAGGTCAATCAGACACAGACATTGATGATCCAAACAGGATAATTAATAAGCACTCCCCAGATTGCACTTGATTGGACACAACATTTACTAGTGACGCTACAACAATGGATTTTTTTTTCCTTATTTTTAAGTTTATCTAAACTAAACATACAGTGTATGTGAGACTCTTGATGATGAGAAATTGTGGGGGATTTTGACAATGAGAGAGGCGGGAAGAGTAAAGGAGCAGTTCTGTAAAAAAGACAGTCATCCGTCACATTTTACAACTGGTCGAAACAAAAAATGCAGGATATATGGATTATAAATTCATCTAGTACCACCCGAAAGAGACTTCAGGTCTGTTTCAATGTATATTTTGTTAAAGTTAACGTGTATATTGTGAAATTTTCAATTAATGTGTGTAATGAGACAACTAATGCATGTTTATGCATTGTTTATGCATCATTCAGCTCTTACTGTAATTAAAAGTTTTCTAGAGTGAAGGAAAACAATAAAACTCAAAAATTGTCTATTTATGCGGAGGTTAGGGTTGTCACGAAACTGGAATTCGGTACCATTCAATACTGAAATTTTATTTACATTTCCCGCTAACATTTTAGCACTGTTGAGCGTGTTCCTAAACAGTGCTGATTTGCCATTGTGCTCACATGCTTAACAGAAATGACTGTGATTGGCTGTGAAGGTCATCAGTTCACCAAACTCACCGAGTGTAAACATAGATACATCGCTGAAATGTTAACGGGAAATGGACGTTTTTAAAATTTCAATACCGATTGGTACCAAATTCCAGTATCAAGACAACCCTAGTGAAGGTTGATATCAATTCCTGCCAGTGATTTCATAAATGTTAAAAAATAATACATCTTTGTCTGCCCCTTTTGTCTAGTATTATTATAATTTAGCCTATATTTCATTAACAATGCATAACTCAGGAGCAGTGATGGAGGAGCAGACGTAATTGCCTATAGATAGCTCACTCCTAATGTCAACCTTTTTTCCACTTCAGTTCAAATGATTTTTATTTCAGAGAACAATTTTACATATTGAATTAATGCACTTCATGGCACCTTTAAATAACACTGAGTAGTGTATTCTTATAGCAGTTGTAACTTTTAATGATGTTAGTTAAAAAATAGTTTATTATGTAAGTTCACAGTGCGTCATGTAATGATAACAGATTAAACATTTGATCTTTATAATTTGCAAATAATAGTATTAGTAATTAATAGCTGTTAATAAATGATGCAGAAGTGTTGTTTATTGTTAGTTTATTAACTGGTTAACAAAAGTTAGCAACTAAGAATTTGTTGTGAAGTTTAAATAAAATGCAAATTAATTGATTTTTTTATTTTTAGTTTTATCGTTTGTTTGTTTGTTTGTTTTATTAAATGTTGTTATTTTTCCAGTATCAGTAAAATAAAATGTAAAAAAAATTGTAATAAAATACTATTTATTAGTTTCATTGTTTGTTTGTTTAATTTATTAAATGTTATTATTATTATCCCACTATCATTAAATAGCAATGATAACTAATTGAAATAAAATATTTTGTTAGTTTTATTGTTTGTTTATTTTATTAAATGTTATTATTATGTCTCAAAGTTTTAAAAAAATCAAGTATCTAAATTTGTAGCTGTATATTTTAGTTTTTGTTCCCTATGATAACCCTTTCTTTCTCATGTACACAGACATCACCGAAGTCATGTGTAAGGGGGCAACACAACAACAGCAACCTGAAAAGTTCTACATCTAAAAAAATGAAGATGGAATAGGAATCATGGAGGCTTCAAAGATTGATTAGACAAGCTACTCAATGGAAAATTTTAAGTTTGTCATGTGACAAGATGTGATGTGTGTTAGTCAATGTCATAATCTTCAAGAATCTTCTATGTAGCACCAGACTAACCAGTGCTGCCACTGCTACTTCAGCAAAAACAATTTCAAAAAGTCCTCATGGCTTTATTTCCTTTTTGAATTCTTTGCATTCCAACACCAGCGATCTGACACTTCACCTTTTCTTTGTCTGGAAAATAACTATATTAATACAATTTTAAGACTGTCATACCTTTTTTTATACACTTTTATACTGATAATAATCATCATATAATGAATCTGTTCAGACTAAAGAAACATTAGAATTGTTAAACTAAAAAAATATGCCTAAAGCTGATAAAAAAAAAACTTCAATAAAGTCAATTATTTTATTATTTATCTTTATAAATCTTGTTGTTGTTTTTGAAATGTTTTTAATGCTGAAGGATGTTGAATATGCAACAAACGATCTGCTTTGATGGGTGGATTAGTGTATTTGCCTGAGGCTTCTATTTAAAAGAACGATTTGTGAGCTTCCTCCTGTCTGGAATAATCAGAGCAACCAATCCATCTAAACATTTTGGCAAATGTCCAGATCATTAAATTAACGACTGATCATTCCCATCAGATAGCATACAATCTTTAATTTTTGGCATGTTCTGTCACTAAAGTTGCCGCCTTCTCTTTTGTCTTCCCCACATTCACTCTCGGCTATAGTATGCACATTTCTAACATTGAAAGAAATGGAATTTTTGCCCAACAGAAGCACTGACAAAAGTGGCAACTAGGGAAAAGGAAGCAACAAGTGAGGCATCCATTTTAGCTGTAGACCTTGAGTTGAAACATTTTTAGTGGTACTCTAATGAAAAGCCTGAAATGCTCCGTGCAGACTATGTGTTGATGTCTGCCCTCGAATTTGATAGATACAGACTCCAAAATTACAGCTCTAATGTGATTTAATAATTTATTTAAACTAAAATGTCATGCAATAATAATAGACTTTCAAAACATGTCGTACCTTACACTTACTTGTACTTACTTGACTTGTTTTCTGCATTGTTTGCTAGTTTGCTCTCATAAATGCATTCATGAGTCTTCACTGTTTTATTGTTTATTTATTTTTTTACTTATTTATTTATTTGTCTGTCTGTCTGTCTGTCCGTCTGTCCGTCCGTTCGTCCGTCCATCAGTCTGTATTTTCTGACAGTCAGACAACTGGCTATTCTGCCGACTATAAATTAATCAAGTTGCATTATTCATTTAAATACTTGCATAAATAATGTCTGAAAGGAAAATTCCTACAATATATGCAACAGGGTCAGTAAGGAGAAAAAAATGCTTTTCATCAGTCATTTTTGACCTTGTGCTGTGTCTTAGTGTATACTGAGTTTTTTATTTTTTTTATTTTTTTATTTTTTTGTCAAAAGAGAATTTGCAATATAGTGCAGATAAGATATTATAAAATCTGGCCCCAAGTCTGATCAAAGGATCTAGTTAGTAGGTAATAATTCCTCCCCTTTTGACAACCTTGTGATAATGCAAATTCAATGCTATAATTTGATCTCTGTCTTTTAAGTCAGAGCAGCAAAGTGCTTGAAAGTAATGCATTCCCTATCCTGGAGAAAGTTTCCTAAAACCTTTGTTGGGCAACTAAGTTTGTAAGTTATATCTTTAGAGACATAGTTCAGTAATTCTGTGTTTTATAAATCCATTGTTTCTCTAAAAATTTGCAAACAGCATTGCAAATTTGTGTTGTACTAAAACTCTAACTGTAGTTAGAAAAGCATAGTTTCTGACAGTGTTTTATTCCAAATTTTCTCCTCTATGCCTTGTCATTTCCAACATTTCATCGTTCACTTTGAATGATTTTTAATGCTTAAAAATGTCTTTCTAAAATTTTTATTTGCAAAAGTTGATTTTGCTTTCAATGGTATTTATATTATAGTTTATACACACTTCAGACTCCTTTGTAGTGGACTTCAAAACATTTATGCCATTTAAACAGACATTGCTCATAAAGAAGGATAACTTTTATGATTTACAAGTGGAAATCTGTTACATTTCCAATGCTTGTGAAGACAAATGATGTACGTACATTAATGATTTTACTGTATTAAAATATGTATCTGTACTTACATATATGCAACATAAATCCAGTGGTTCATGATATAAAAAAGGGTAAAAGTTATTCATAAAAAAATACACTTTTGTAAAATGTAATGTCTAAAACCAAGTGAAGTTTCACAAACTAATTTCGAGAGGAGCACGTGATAGGATTCACTGCAGCTGATCTAACGCAATCTCACAGCAATTCGTGACTTTTTGATTTAGTGGCTAATTTGCGTGAATTCGTATGATCTTAATCGTACAATTTAGTATGATTTGCTCATCACCCAATGACGGCCGGGGTTAGGGATGGGGTTGGGTGACACACCTCCTTTTTAAAATCGTAAAATTTTGTATGGCTGAACTTGTACGAATTCGTACTAATTAGCCACTAAACTGACAAAACGTAAAATAGTTATGTTTCCTCATGAGATCAGGCTGACTGATCCCTTTCACATCACTAACTAGCTAATCAGATCATTCCAAATTTAATATAAATATCCAGCCTAAACTTCATCCCTCATCTTCGTTTTGGAAACCCACCCCATCCATCCCTTCTAACTCCTCCTCAGTTCTAAGTTTGGGCGACATAGTGGCTCAGTGGCTGGTTCAAACAGCTGAGCAAGTCGACACTTTCTGTGTGGAGTTTGCATGTTCTCACCGTGTTTACATGGGTTTTCCTTGAGTACTCCGGTTTCTTCCCACAGTCTAAAAGCATGTAACAAAAGTTAAAGTCACAAGCACCTATTACGTACAAACTGGCGCAGTCTATTTTTGGGAAGTTGTCAAGAACTACCTGTTCTCGTATGTCTCCTAATACTTATTGACCAGGCAGGAGCCTTGGGCTCATCTTTCTCTGAGCTCAGGGTTCTCTCCCGGGACAGCATGCCAAACCTGCTTAAATAGTCAAGCATTATCTAAGTGTAAACTTTTGAAATGTAATTTATATACTAAAAAAAATTACATGTAAATTCATGATAACTGTATACATAAGATTATGTTATATGCTATAATAAGTGGTGAAATGTTTAGCTATAGTAGAATGAAATATTTCCCAGAGATGGGTTGCAGCTGGAAGAGCATCCGCTGTGTAAAACATGTGCTGGAAAAGTTGGCGGTTCATTCTGCTGTGGGACTTAGGGACTAAGAAAATAAATGAATGAATGTTTGTGAAAGAAAGGAAATTGATATTTGCCATGTTTTTAAAGTTATTTATAGCTGTGCAGATGCATTCATCCTATTGTATGTCAAAATGAATTAGCAGTTTACATTTCTGTAATTATATATTATGTTGCTTCTTCCAAAAGCTTAATAATACATCTTATGCAATTTGTTGTGATCATCTTAATCCCAAACAAATTATCCCTTAAGAGATTTTACTTTTCGGTAATTTAGCAGGGAAAAATCTGTTCAAAGTGCTTTTTTTAATTACTATTTATTTAAATGTTATATAGACACTTGTGAATATTAAAACTCTTCAGTGTTTCAAGCAACAATGTGCACGGTGGATGTAGTTATTAGATGAGTTAAGAATTGCAAACTTGTGCACACTATTCTGTGGCATTTCTATGTATAAGTAGCAAGAGTAGAGTGTACTTACAATAAAACACAAAAATGGTACAGTTGTTTAACTATTTTTTATTTATTTTTTTAATAGAAAATGAACAGTGGAATGTTGTTTTGTATATTTAATGAAGGGGACAGAGCTTTCATACTCCAATAATTAATGACAAATTAACCTTTGTAGATAGTTGAATGCAGAATTCTTCTTTTAACATTAAACACCATAGTTCATTAAATAGTTAATGTAGTTCATTAGATTAGATAGGCCTGGAAAAGTTTGGATTTTTTTTGTTGATATGCCAAGAATGTTTTTTGTGCTGCAGTAACAAATTGTAGTTTGGTCTCTGACAGCATTGTCAGCAGACCAGGCCATCTGAACAATCAGAGCAGAGCCGGCTCTCAGAGAAAGCGGGGTTTAGAGAGACCAAATACTTGGACAACTCATTTGAGACTCTGTGAAAAAAGGGGGGAATGCAACAATGTACATTATAGGGCTGCACGATATAGGAAAAATTTGACATTGCGATATATATTTTTTTCTTTGCAGCATATATTACAATATAAATACAATTTTACCAATGGCCTAAATAGCTCTTAAAAAAAAGAAAGAAAAAAAAGATTTCATTAATTTAGATTGATTGTGATGATTAGAGAAGTAAAATATAATTTTTTAAGGTCATTTAATATACACATATAATAAACAGACTACAGTCATAAATAAAACAAATTTGTACAAATATATAAGCAAATTTAACAGTGCTTAATGGTTTTCTGGGGAGAGTCTAACAAGTTGCAAAAGTCGAAGAATCAAATGCAAAAAACACATTGCGTAGTCTTCATCATATACATTATTTAATAAAACTAATCTGTATTAAACTTCTTTATGCGCTATTAAAATGCTTTAAAGGTGCAAAATGTAAGTTTGACACTTACTGGTTGAACTAGGTATTGCACTCCTGGATCGAAACAAACGCAAGTTCAGGTTGCCAGATTGAGGACCAATAAGTTTGACGGTCAAGCTTAAAGGCTGAATTGAGGTTGATTTAAATCATGTTCTAAATAAAAGCAATGGCAAACAATAGAAGGAATATTTTCCACATTAAAATGAAATTTGTTCTAACCAACACCTCAAATTGAAATATTAGAAATATTAGATTATTTCTTGCAGCTTACATACAGATAACTTTGGCAATGATTGCCTCAGGTATGCTTCATGTGTTTTATTCACTGTTAAATGCTAACAACGTGAGTTTGAATGCCATTTTACATGACATTTATTGCCATACTACTGAAAGCAGCAGCAGACCTCAGATCTTGAAAATAAAATAAACAGTTTGAAATTGAACTTTGGAACTGTGACTTAAAACCAGCACCTAGTGAGCATGTTCATTTAATAATGTTAAAGAGGTTTAAAATGTATTAAATAGATTATTAACCTTACCATTTTGTGAGGGCATAATCTGTGCTTTTAAATGGCTGTATTTAAATTTGTGTCATGTTATTTGGTGTGGTGCAAACAGCCAAATTGCTTATCACTGCCAATCTCATCACGTAGCATGCCGTTAGGACATGCGGTTACAATGTAACCTGCTCACCTAATATTTAGGCTCGTAATATTTATATTATTTGCTAGTTAATAACCTCATGTGGAACTCTGAATCTGCATCTCATTTTGAATTCTACTCCTGTCCACCGGATGG